CTGCGCCAGCGCCCCGGTGCGCCGCGTCGGCGCCCAGACCGGCGGCCGCCACCTACCTGGGGCGTTTGTTTTTCCAGTTGGCGCCTTTAGAGCCGTTGGCGCTTCCGATTTCCGGCTCCGCGCATCCCCCAGGGGCGGCTTGGACCCCACTTCCTTCCGTTTCTAATTCCCCGGGACGCGCTTCAACTCTGGCGAAAGTCAGGATGTGCGGGGCCTCCCCGCGGCCCCAGGTAACGCCAGCACTGTGGGGCCGCGAGCGACCCCAGCGCAAAGACCCCTCCTGTCCCCCGCGGCCCCCTCAGCTGCGGCCCGCCTGTCCTGCGCCCCGCTCTGCCTCTGGTGAATCCTGTCACCCCCGCACCAGTGGCCTGCACCCCAGTTGTGTGCACAGAAATAAATCCCTAAAAAAGAAATCTCAAGATTTTATTTTTCAGCGGTATCAAGTTTTGTTTTTAAGTAGTTGGGGATCTCCCAGGTATCCGTTAGGGTTCTGGTCAGAGAACAAATCCGGGGAGGCCTCCAGGGGGCCAGCAAGGCCTTCTGCGCGCTCCCTGGAGGCCCCGCTGGCCCCTGCCGCCTGTGCGCCAGGGCCCCGAGCCCTCGGGCAGCCCCCCACTTCCTTCTGTGCAGTCGGGTGCAGGCGCTCACTCTCCACCCCCCGAAGGCGGGCCTCCCCCACGGGCACAGCCCCCCCAAGGGCCCCACTACCTGCACCCCCGGGGGGCCACACAGGCAGGCAGGGGCTCCACAGTCCTGCTCGAAGCTGCTGCGAAAGACCAGGATGGGGACCCCTGTGCCCCGACAAACTCCCACACCCCAAACAGGTCTGGTGACCCCCCTGGGCGCCAGGGGGCTACTGTGTTCCTCAGTGGGGCACGGCCGTTGAAAGGCACACGGGGGGTGACCTGGCCGAACCCCACTCACTGGGCTTCTCTCCCCCAATGCGGTCGGTGCGGCCGTGGGGACCCTCAGCCAAACCACTGCCCGGGGCACAGGGGTGCAAGGCCTCCCGCTCGCCGGGGGCCGGGACGGAGCCCCCTCGCCGCGGCGGGTCTGCCAGGGTGTGCTGCAGCCAGGGGCGGGTCTCAGGGCGCCCCCGGGGGCCGCGCACACGCACTCCGTGGCTGCACTGAGGCGCCAGGGCCTGGGCCCCTGCCCGGGCCCTGCTCAGTGAGCCGCCGGCCACCGGCCTGGCCCAGGGTGCAGCGGGCCCCCTGGGCGTCTCCGGGCCCAGCCCCGGCGGGGGGCTGGCCGGGATGTGTCCCCAGACCTCGATGGCAAGCGCTTCGGCCCCCGGAGCCACAGGGCCCCGGGCAGCCGGGCAGGCCGCTTCCTTCCTCGGCGGCGCCCCCCAGCCCCGCGGACACCCCCGGCTGGCTGTGGGCTGTGGGGTGAGGACGGGGCCGAGCGGGGCTCGAGGGGTCACACAGCCGCACGCCCTCGCGGCTCATTGGCATGCGGGGCACTGCTCTCCGCCGGCCAGTGTGGGCCTGCCGGGCCTTTGTGCCTCTGAATAGTCGTCCCTGGGAGCCGAGGCCGCTGACATGGCAACAGGGGCCTCCCCGAGGCCCCAGGCCAGCAGAGCGCCGGGGCCGGCGAGGCGAGCGCAGGCCTGCCGAGGTGAGTGTTTCGCGAACTGAACTGCGTGCCCCCTCGCCCGCTGGCCGCAGCTGGGCCACGCCGGGCGGGGCAGGGAGGCCGCGGCCCCACCCCAGCCGCGGCCCTGGGGCGGCTCTGCGCACCTGCTGAGCTGAGGCCTCTCCCGCCCGCAGGCGCCGCTCCTCCCGCTGAGGACCGCAAGAGGTTTCCAGAGACTTGATTACATCGGCTGTTCTAGAGAGCGCCCGATGGTGTGGCTAGTAGCTCGGTGTGGCTAGTAGCTCGGTGTGGCTAGTAGCTCGGTGTGGCTAGTAGCTCGGGGGCAGCACAGGTCTGGTGACCGCAGACCTGTGGCCACCACTGTCCTCTGTCCCGGGCACCATGACGCGGGAGGAGCCGGGCCGGGAGGAGCTGGCTTACGACCGGACCCCCACCCTGGAGCGCGGCCGGCCGGACACGGGGGTCTACGTGCCAGCCCCCAAGCCCAGTGACCTTCAGCTGTCCACGCGGCTGCCCCGCTGCCTCGGCCACAGGACCTGGGTCTTCTCCGTGCTGATGGGGGTGAGTCCCTCGCCGCATACCTCATCGTCCTCAGCCTGCGTCCCTGGCCGGCGGCCCCGGCTCCAGGGTCGGCACGGCCCAGCCCCCGTCCGAGAGGCCCGTGAGCCCCTGCCTACCTCCTGGGGTCACGTCCTCTGTCCCCAAGATCCAGACCCCGGCGTGGCTGCGGCGCGTCCCAGCAGGGCCCAGCCCAGGGCCCCGCCAGCCTCCCTGCGGCCCTGCAACCCACCCGGGGTCCCACCCCGCCGTGGCCTCCTCCGCCCCAGACCCCAGAGCTTGGCCCCAGTGGGCGCCACGGCCCTGGGCGCCGGAGCCGTTACCACTGGCCACTCCCTGGGCGTCACCCCTACAGCGACTTCCCACCGCGTTCGGGGCCAGCGGGGCTGTTTGCGGGGCTGAGCCGGGACCTAGGGTGGGTCCGGAGGCCCCGAGACGGCATGTGTCGGGGTGGGGGTGTTTTCTGAGGCCCTTTCTGGTCCCGGGCAGCGGCAAGGCCCGCAGTCTGCCACCGGGGTGCCGTGCGGGTCCAGCAGGTCCGGCAGCAGGGGCGGGGTGGCCGCCGGGCAGCGGGGTGTGACGCTCTGCCCCCCTGCAGAGCTGCCTGCTGGTGACCTCGGGGTTCTCACTCTACCTGGGGAACGTGTTTCCTTCGGAGATGGATTACCTGCGCTGCGCGGCCGGCTCCGTAAGGGCGGTGGGGCGCCTCTGTGACTCTGGCCTCAAACAGCGTCTCGTGAGGGACTGCTGGCGCTCAGGCTCCGGCCGCCGGAGGACGCTCGCTGTCCCTGCCGCCGGCGCACCCGTCCAAACTGGAGGGGCAGCCAGTGGCCCCAGGGCCAACCCGGCCGGGGGCCTCGTTTCCACTCTCTGTGCGACCCCCACCCCCGCTCAGCCCCGCAGACGCCCTCTGCTGCCCGGGCCCTGGCGCCTACCCACCAGGCCCGGGGCGCCTCCCACCGCCCTGTGCGAGGAGGCCAGGCAGTCTGTGTCACCTGCCCTGGCCGGGTCACGTCCCCAACGCCTGCAGACGCAAGCAGACGCCCTGTGCCCACGGAGCAACCGGTCTCGCTGCTCCGGCGCCGCGCCTGGGCTCTGGCACCCCAGCTCCTGCGCACCCCGCGTGGCAGGCGGCAGGCAGGCGGCCCTCTGTGGGACCCGAGCCCCCCTTCCCTCCCGGGGGGCCCGGAGCCCAGTCGGCCCCTTCCCTGCCTGCGCGGGGCTCGCTCAGCCCAGTCAGAACAAAGCTGACGCCACCCTGGGCCCCCCGCCACCCTGGGCCCCCCGCCACCCTGGGCCCCCGCCACCCGCGCAGTCCGGGCCGCGCTGCCCCGCCCACAGGGCGGAGGTCGGACTCGCACACGGCAGCGAAAGTCATTTTAAGCGC